TAATCAGATATGCCATATGACATTTTCCTCCACAAACTCAAAAGGCACTCACTCTCTCTCACATACACAGACACCAGTACACAGACAGAAAAGCTCTCAGATGGATGCAGACACAAAGTATGCACCAGTAGTCTTGCATAATATGCACAGACAGAGTCTCAGCCTTTTCCGCAGACAATCCTTCACTGTTTCCTCCAGTCTTCTAATTGGCTTTAGCCAGGCCCAGCCTACAGACCTGAGTCAGAAACAATTAAAAACTCCATTTATATTCCTGCAGTGAGCACATGGGCTCCCACAGCGTGACTGCACACATCAGGCCTCATCATCTGTGTGTGATTTTAAACTTCAGGCCATTTTCCATATTTATTTGAACATGGTCCGACTTGAAAGCTGCAGAGCGAGGAGCGAAAAGTGCTTTTTGATCACACAAATAATCTCCAGCTCCCCCAACATTGCCTTTAAATAAATACATGATTCAGAAAATATTAGCTTTCTTAGCAGATTGTTTATTGTTTGAGTTTTCTAGAGCTTAAATTGACTACAAAAACACTTCTGATTTTATATGGTCATCAGTGACTCAGAAGGCTTGGATTTCAGAAGAGGGACCTGACATAGGTAATAACCAAGTTTGATAAATAAACCAACCCCATCTCTTATTCTCATTCCCACTGAATCAGCTCAATCCTTCTCAAAACCTGAGCTCTCCAGTAAGGTAATTACCTTTTTAGAACATACAAGAAATGTAAAAATAACCATGTATGGAGGGAAGGAAAAAAAACACATTAATCAAAAAAAAAGAAAAACCTTTTTACTGGTGTAACCACATCCAGCATGTGTACATTGATTTTTATCAATGTCCATTTGGTTTTTATTTTTATATGTGGGCAGCGGTGGGCCGATTTAATGACAGTGGATCTAAAATAGGATGTGGCACCATTGGGATCCAAGATTTAAGATAAAGCTGTCAACGTTAAAGCAGTGATGGCAATCAGACTCTTTAATGCCCCGCCTGGCTTCAGTGTTGTCACGTTGTGAAATGCAACTTGATGCAAAGGCTGATGGAGGGGCTGCATGTTGAAATTATCATCACCATCGATGTTTTTGGACAAGACGCTTACCTGATGACAGAATAACTCGCAATCAAGTTATTTACTGAGGAGGCAATGTTTGACTTTTGGAGCAAAGGGCCAAAGCTGCAGTTCTTCTGGCAGTTAGCAGCTCAATTCTTATCAGGACACACATTAAAGTCCCACTCGTATTAAGATATATATATATATATATTATATGAGAACACTATATATATATATATATATATAGTGTTCTCAGTGGTCTTTAAATTGTGATTATGAAGTTTTTAGCCAAAATTACGCCACCTGTCTCATTTTCAAGGGCTTTTCTTCTGCAGAGCTCTAGTAGATCATTAGCAATTCACCTCTGAGTCGTGGGTGGAGACAGCGCTGCTCTGCACACTCCTCTTCATGCTAGCTTGCAGCCTAACATTGTCAGTGTAGTAGAAGTGGTAGGTAATATAGGAGCTTTAGCGGCATGATTAAAGCTAATATCATAATTAGCTTTTTTACGAGCATTGCAATCCACTAACACACACACTTGTTCAGTGATTGTCCTTTCTTTTTCTCACAGTCTGGCCTGCAGAGCGGGGCTCTGGGGGCGGAGCTTGCAGTTGTAACATAGGAAATCTGAACCTGCCATTTGGGTCTGTGAGAAGTTCACAGAGATTTGAAAGCAGAAATGCACTGCAGTGCAATTTTGCTGAAAGTTTTCTCATGATATGCCCTGTAGCATCAGAGAAATGCCACATGAACATGTAGACAACAAGAAAAACATGATTTTTACCAGAGTGGGTCTTTAAAATATACAAACAAGTGTAAACTGCATGAGAGTGGTTAAGTTTTTAAGGCTTAAAGTTATGCATAACTGCAGATATATTAGCTGGTGCTGCTTTTGAAATACTAACAGACCTTCCCAAAAATCGGTACCCCAGCTGTCTAAATGAGTAAAACTGTGTGATGTTTGTTTGGTTATCTATTTATGATTATTTTGGAGAGAATGAAATGCACTAAATCATGTTGGGATTGGAACCCACATATGACCAGTGCAAAGGGGACTGTGGCCTTTGTACATGGGCTTCATGCTCTACCAATTTTGAGGTACTGTATGTATTAGAAATCATTAATAGATTGTGCTGTCTGGGTTTATTATACCCAGTTAAACATAGAGTACATTGATAAATTAATGTGCAGGACTGTTGTAGGCTAGTCCTTTTAGATGCCTCAGGTCATGTTGTTTACCCGATGCAGGCTCTAAATGAAGATGTAAGTAAGTGACAGCCTGTCAGCCTCGGTCCACAGGATCTCTTGGTTTCTTTATAAATAAAACAGCTCTGTCGGCAGCCATCAGTAATAAATCTCATTCTGTGGGAAACAACATGGTCAACTAGCTAAATTGTGGCTTGTAGATTAGCCTTTGAAAATAAAGTGTTTCTAATCGCGATGCCAACCTTCAAATGTAGTAACCTTCAGTTTCAAAAATAAAACATGGCCGTTGCCAAAATGCTGAGTGGAGCATCATAAAACTAATCCACAATCCACCATGGGAAGTGTTTAGGCTCATGGTTTATTATTATCTCCCGAGAGGAGATGTTCGCAGGCTGTGAAACAGGCTGAAATTAATACTGGCACCTTTTAATGATCTAGACCATTGGCATGGAGATCAATTGTTTCTTTTCAGTTATATTTGATGCCATTAACCTTAAATTCCTCAAAGGAGTTTGAATTTCCTTTGTCTGCAACTTTCTTCCATTCATTCCCATGTCTTTCTTTCTAGTGGATCCTAAACTGTCACAGGCTAACAAACATTGCCTATTGTTCAATTAACTGTTTGTCAACAGCCTTAAAACTTCATGAAAAAGTATGTCTGCTAGAAGAGGACAGGGCATGAACACACCAAAAGCAAAGTACAAACACGCAGAAGGGATAAGCTAAAGTTTGGGGTGTGTGCATGCCTGTGGGGGTGTATGTGTGTCTATAATGTATGAGGTGTTTGTGGAGATGAGCCTTGCGTGCCAGGGGCCACAGCAGGTGCAGTGTGTCTCTGGAGTGCCGTGTCCTAGTATGTGCTGGGTGGGTGTGTGGTATCCCTCCTCCTCAACATCTCAGCTTTCTCCACCTCTTCTCCCTGTCGATATAAATAAAACCAGACCACTCACCACACAGCAGCAGGGGTCCTCTGGAGCAAAGGAGACAAAGTTTGGGTGACAGTGTAGGTCTCAGTGGGTGTCGGGATGAGATTCTCTGTGGTTATCTGAGGACAGTTGAAGACAGCAAGCACAAATCATCCTCCTAGGACATTTAAGTCTGTTCAGATGACATTAGGAAGATTATAATCAAATAGTAAAAAGAAGCTCTGTTTTTTATTTTGGTGGACTTTACTTTTCTAACATTTTCATCGTGGAATTAAATTTTTAAAAGTTTTAGCCAATTAAATTTCTTACATTTTACAGGCTGTTTATGATGAGTGGATCAATAAGTTTCTGTTGGTAGTGCATTATCTGTTAAGATACACGTAAAATAAGGTTTAAATGACCCATTTTACATGTTGATATTGTTAGTCTTGCTCTTCAAATCTAACATTTTAAATTTCTTGCAAGTAATATTACAAAGACTGACGCTTTTATTTTGAAATTATTCATAACAGAAGTTATCAGTGGAGAAATGGTAAAACAGTGTGCATTATTTGAAGGAATGATTGCTATAATGATCATTTTATGTTGATTAAGTACCTGATTAATAGACGTTTTCAAATTGTTTTGTTTGTTATGTGACTCAATATGAAGTGTCTATACTGTGTTTTTGAGGAGTTGTATATGACTGAGTTTAAGCTAGCAGGGATGCTACAGTCTTAACATTGGTCCTGGTTAACACAAGAGGCAGATTGTCTACATGTATTTCATGTTATTTGGTAAAGGGGGTAAATTTAATGTGTTATTCTGAACTGACTAAAATAGCTCAAGCACTCCAATTTGAAGTCACTCTCATTTCCAACAGGTTTAAATGCATTATTTCAAAGTGGTAGTTGAACATACGTACAAAAAATGTATTAATACTGTGCTTGTTGTTTTCTTTGGTTCTTACAGTGTTCACTCTGGGCACTCTGCCCATGATTCAAGTTATCAAGTTAGAATTGACCTGACGTCAACTAATACAGAAATTAATAGTGTAAAACGAGCAGCTGGTCTGCAGGTGACCCAGTCAGGTGTTTAACAGAGGAGGCAGTCATAGTAATGGTGAGTGATATTAAAAAATGAAAACAATATAAAAAAAAAAAAAAAACCACACACACACACGAGTCGATCACCGAGTGCAGCGGATCATTTCCATGAAGTAGTAATCATCATAATAATCTTTTTCCACTGCAAACATCGTAGTTCTTCTGCCTTAGCGTCTTGGTCTGATTGCATTTCCATGAAGTAATAATCATAAATGTTCTTCCTTGAGCTGCGAAACTCAGCTGCACTCGGTGATCGACTTGTCAAGGCTCCCCAACAAACAAGTGGCTGCTGGAGGAGAGTGGGTGATTTGTGTTTGGTCTCTGACAAATGAAACCAGGCAAAGCAAAAAGATGTTTGATGACTAGTGCTATGGCTGGGACCCTATATGTACTGTTGATGAAGTTAGGTGCTGTTCTGGGCATTATTTGTGACTATAGAGTGGCTTTTTCAAGGATTCAAGGAATCTTTATTGTCCCCGTGGGGCAAATCGCTTTACAGCCAGCAGTGCAACAAACAGACATAGTACAACTAGCACAACAATAAATAAATAAATAAACAAACGATAAAACAGAGAGAGAGACTAAAAACAATCACTTGTTTAAAAGACCCATGGCGGCAGGGATAAGAGAGTTCTTCAGCCTTTTTGTCCCACATCTAGGCAGGACATACCTGCAGCCTGGCGGGAGCAGCACAAACTCACCAGCCAAGCCAAGCTCTGATCAGTGAGGAATGAGCGGGCCTTGCTTAGTGTTCTAAGCTTAAAAGTGTTGGTAAAAGTGTGACTGTGTGAGCGAATGAATGATGTATCCAATGTAAAGTGCTTTGAGGGTCTCTGATAAAGCGCTATATGAAATCTGATGCATTATTATTATTATTATTATTATTAAGATCCCTGAGGTTAATGCCAGCAATTTTGCTGCACATTTTCACAATATCAGACAGTCTGTTCTTGTTTTTTAAGGAGAGTAGGCCGTACCAGCAAACAAAAGAGACAGTTAAAACCAGTGGCGGCTGCTGGTCTTTCAAGGAGGGGAAGCTCATTTTTCTGGCCTACATCATAATTGTATTTGTTTATTAGTATGTAACAGAACAGAGTCGCCAAACACAACGGCAGTCGTTTTTAACAAAGACAGAAGTCGCTGAGGATCGGTAAAGTCTCCGGAGCAGTTAAGAACAACGGAATGAATAACTTGGAAAATGCTCTGGTAGATGTTTTATTCTTCAAGATCGCTGATTCGCTTGTTTAGCTGTCAATCAAAAAAGGATTTCGCCTCAGACAGCTCATCCAATCGTGGATGCAGAAGCATGGAGTCCGGGAGAAAGTCGGGACCGCCCTCTCGCCATAGAACTCCAGTGAAGCTGGGCTTCCGATTGGCGGGACAAAGCCCAGCATTTATCCAATGAGCGTCTAGTTTCGCTGCTGGAACAACCCACTTTTAGCTTCCACATTGAAGTCAGCAGAAGCCCAGCGTCCGGCTGTTTAAAGTGCTGAGGCGCTGCGAGGATGAATGAGAACGAAGTTATGCCGGTTACCTGTAATTATCAGCTTCTTATCACAGTGTCTGAACAAAAGATGAAGGCTTTCTAGTGCGTATTTAGTTAATGAAATGTACACACAGCCGTACGTATTTCACCACTTTTTCTTTTTTTGGGGGGGTGACATTTTAAGGGAAGCCGAGCTTCCCTTGCAGTCTCAGAGCAATCGCCACTGGTTAAAACAGACTCAATAAAACAGAAATAAAACATTTTCATAAAAGTGCTGTCAACATTAAAACTCTGCAGTTTCCTGGAAAAGTACAAACGTTGATGTGCCTTCTTGCAGACAGCATCAACATGGAAGTCGAAGGACAGCTTATCATCAATGTTTGTGCCAAGGTATTTGTAATTGTGGACTAATTCCACAACTTGGCCCTCAATGGCAAGAGGAGGGATAGCTGATAAATGTTTAGGGAAATCGATCAGCATTTCTTTGGTTTTGGTCACACTGATGGTCATAAAAGATGCAGAGCACCAGGCAGTGAATTCCTTTTTTTGGTTGAGGTTTGTGCGTGGAGACCGCTGTGTATTGCTATCATGCAGTCGTTGCTGAAGTTGGTATAACTAGAGAAGCAAGCAGTCTGCAACATTCAGGGATGTGTGTGTGTGTGTGTGTGTGTGTGTGTGTGTGTGTGTGTGTGTGTGTGTGTGTGTGTGTGTGTCTCACTCGGTGTTACGGTGTGTTTAACCATAACTTAATCTATGCCAGAATATGCCTTTCAGAATAAAAGTGAAAAGGAGTCGCTGTGATGGGTATGGAGTAGAGGATGCCATTTTTCAGGAATTCCCGTGGGTCACGTGATTCCCGCGGGAATCCCACTGGATGGGAGTCATTTTTTAATTAATCCCATGATTGGGACAGGACGGGAAAAAAAAGCAACGGGAGCGGGCAGGAGCGGGAGCAACATTAATAGATGATCATTTTCAGCCACGCTAGCAACACAAAAGAACTACAGCAGTGGTTTGACTTCCTGTCACCACTGGAAGTGAAAAGCGACTCCGAGTGGCTGCCGGCAACACACATAACTGATGTACACTCACCGGCCACTTTATTAGGTACACCATGCTAGTAACGGGTTGGACCCCCTTTTGCCTTCAGAACTGCCTCAATTCTTCCGTTCCACCACATCCCAAAGATGCTCTATTGGATTGAGATCTGGTGACTGTGGAGGCCATTTGAGTACAGTGAACTCATTGTCATGTTCAAGAAACCAGTCTGAGATGATTCCAGCTTTATGACATGGCACATTATCCTGCTGAAAGTAGCCATCAGAAGTTGGGTACATTGTGATCATAAAGGGATGGACATGGTCAGCAACAATACTCAGGTAGGCTGTGGCGTTGCAACGATGCTCAATTGGTACCAAGGGGCCCAAAGAGTGCCAAGAAAATATTCCCCACACCATGACACCACCACCACCAGCCTGAAGGCAGGATGGATCCATGCTTTCATGTTGTTGACGCCAAATTCTACCATCCGAATGTCGCAGCAGAAATCGAGACTCATCAGACCAGGCAACGTTTTTCCAATCTTCTATTGTCCAATTTCGATGAGCTTGTGCAAATTGTAGCCTCAGTTTCCTGTTCTTAGCTGAAAGGAGTGGCACCCGGTGTGGTCTTCTGCTGCTGTAGCCAATCTGCCTCAAAGTTCGACGTACTATGCGTTCAGAGATGCTCTTCTGCCTACCTTGGTTGTAACGGGTGGTTATTTGAGTCACTGTTGCCTTTCTATCAGCTCGAACCAGTCTGGCCATTCTCCTCTGACCTCTGGCATCAACAAGGCATTTCCGCCCACAGAACTGCCGCTCACTGGATATTTTTTCTTTTTCGGACCATTCTCTGTAAACCCTAGAGATGGTTGTGCGTGAAAATCCCAGTAGATCAGCAGTTTCTGAAATACTCAGACCAGCCCTTCTGGCACCAACAACCATGCCACGTTCAAAGTCACTCAAATCACCTTTCTTCCCCATACTGATGCTCGGTTTGAACTGCAGGAGATTGTCTTGACCATGTCTACATGCCTAAATGCACTAAGTTGCTGCCATGTGATTGGCTGATTAGAAATTAAGTGTTAACGAGCAGTTGGACGGTGTACCTAATAAAGTGGCCGGTGAGTGTAGTTCTCCCATGTTACTTCAACAAGAATATGTATATATACAGTAGCGGTTCCAGGCACGGGTGAACCAAGCAGCCGCCCGGGGTGGTATTTGTGTCATGACTCATGGGGGGCGGCACAAGCACTTCCAAAAAAGAAAGAAAAAAGATAATAATAAATCTGCACCGCAAAGCGGTTTTGTATTAACTCTTGTCAAATTGGAGCCCCCTGCTGCTGTAGGCGCCCCTGCTTGCTGCACAGAGGCTGACAGACTGTATGAGATGAAACGGAGAGGGGGTCGCGCGGGAGGCTCAAGCAGAGAGGTGCTTCTCAAAACTGAAGTTGATAAAGTCGTACCTAAGGTCAACCATGTCTCAGGAACAGCTCACTGGCCTTGTCGTCATCAGTGTAGCGTTCTGAAGTGTAGCTGAGGGCTTCTAGAGTCTCTCTTTTCTGGAACAAAAACTCAGGAACATGATACTCTTTGGAGGCTGAGCTAAACGGCACACACTCAGTTTATTTTTCCCCTCACACGTGAACACCTCTCTTAACAACAACATCACCTCTCTGACGTCACACGTCCTCCTCTGAAAGACATAACACTGATCACACCAAGGTCTTACATGATTGTACATAGTGGGCCAATAACACAAACTCCGGGCGTTTGCCAAGACCTGTTCATAGGCAAGGTGAGCAGTCAAAGGCATGCCATGCAGATGCCTGAGGACCTCGGGGACCAAGACAGCAGGGACCACCACTTGTGTTGTTAGCCCCACATCAGACAGCCTCACAACCCTGCACAACATTCCATCAACGAAAGTCAGTTGGGGAAACTCATGCCACAGTCTCTTTAAACCCCAACTAGCCTCCTTTAACCTCCACCTACGGGGTCGCTGACCATCCTCAAGCCAGGCCAGCACCTGTCTGATGTCAGCATCACTCTGTTGGAGCTCCTTGACATTGGAGCCAATGGGCGACAGGGCGTAGATCAGGGCCCGGTCCACACAAGCCTGGGGGTCAGAAGGCAAATGGGGGCTGGGGCTGGGGTTGGGGTCTGTTGTAGGGGCTGTGGTAGGGGTGGGAGTCTCTATGGTGCACACAGTGCTTGAGTCAATGTCCATAACTGTCTGGGTACCTGTGTGCACAAGAGTGTGAGTAGCATCCGGGGGATCACTGTCCATTAGCTCTGCACTGAGGTCAGGTTTGCGTTCATGTGTTGACTTCCACTTTGGTGCACGATTACCAAGTCATAGGGGTCCAGTTCCAGGGCCCAGCGGCTGCAACGCCCAGTTCTGTCGTTATCAATGGGAAGCCACCGCAGGCCCAACAATGGCCGGTGGTCTGTGACAATGGCGAATGGGCGAAGACCCAGGTAGTGTCTGAAATGACGAACAGCCCACACGATCGCCCACAGCTCCCTGTCGTACGTAGACCATTGCCGTTCGGCTGCCGTGAGGGAGAGACTAGCGTAAGCCACCACCTTCTCCAGCCAGTCAGCAGCTTGTGCCAACACTGCCCCCAGAGTGACCTGAGAGGCGTCAGTGTAGAGAATGAAACAGTGAGTGAAGTCTGGGTGACCCATTATAGGTTCAGCACAGAGAGCGTCCTGCAGGAACTCAAACACCTCCTGGCAATCTGCAGTCCATTGAAACAGGACATCCTTCCCTCTGAGGTGACTGAGGGGAGCGGCTTGCTGGGCAAAGCTCCTCACAAACCTCCTGTAGTAGGAACAGAGCTCCAAGAAGGCAAGCACCTCTGTGGCAGATCTCGGCACAGGCCATGACTTCACCTTCTCTGTGTTCTTGGGGTCAGGGCGAAGCCCCTCTGCAGAGATGACATGCCCAAGGAAGACCACGTAGTCCTGGGCCAGGTGACACTTCTTGGCGTTCAGCCGTAGCCCAGCTGCGCTGATACAGGAGAAGACCTACCCCAGGGCAGAGAGATGATCCTCAAATGACCTTCTGTATATCAATATGTCGTCAAGATACACCATGCAGACGTGCCAAGGCAGCCCCTTTAACACCAGCTCCATAACCCACTGGAACGTCGCAGGTGCATTTGTGAGCCCCATGGGCATGGATCTGAACTGGTAGAGCCCCTGGTCAGTGGTAAAGGCAATCTTTTCATGGTCCTCCTGCGCCACTTTCACCTGCCAGTAGCCATCTGAGAAGTCCAGTGTGCTAAACCAGGTGGCCCCATGCTAGGGCGTCGAGTGTGTCATCGACCCATGGCAGTGGATGGGAATCTTTTATTGTCACAGCATTGAGGCCCCTGTAGTCAACACAAAATCTCCAGTTATTATTCTTTTTCCTGACAAGAACCACTGGAGAGGACCATGGGCTGCTGCTCTCCTTGATGGTACCATCCTTTATTTCCCTCCGCTTGTCAGGGGATGTGTGGTAGGCATGGTGCTGTATTGGGGGCTGTTACCTGTTTGAATGTGGTGTTTGATCAGGTTGGAGTTGCCTGTTCCACCCTGTGCAGGGCTAAACACTCCCTGATGCTTCTCCAGCATCGAAATGGCAGCGGGGGCTCCACTCTCATGCCACTTATGCCAGTCTATGTAGCAGAACCTTCAAAGTAATCTTCCTCCATGTCCCAGTCCACAACGTTGCGCTTCACTCCTCGAACATGCCGCTCCTAAGCAACCACACGAGCACAGCCAGCCGGCTAGCAGGACCAACTAGAAAGTTCAGTAAATGTCCAAAGAGAAAACTGCTCCAAAAGCCAGAACTCACTCCAATTACCGCTGCCACCAATGTAGTGTTCAGAAGTGTTGCTGAGGGCTTCTAAAGTTTCTCTTTTCTGGAACAAAAACTCAGGAACATGATACTCTTTGGAGGCTGAGCTGAATGGCACACACTCAGTTTATTTTTCCCCTCACACGTATCCCCCCCCCCCCCCACTCTCACATCAGCATCAATCACTTAACCCATTTAAACTGGGACAGCATGTACGCATATCAATCAGCCTTCCAAGCCGGGAACGCGGCTGCACATTTCTACCCTTCAAGACGGGAGCGCGGATACGTAATTTTGTGACATTCTGTAGTTTTTTAATCATTTCTGGAGTTGTGGCGAATCAAATCACCCTACCTGTCTGCCTCTCGTAGGTGAATAAAGCGCTCGGATTCATGCTCCGATCTTGTTACGTGCTTCAAGAGTAAAGTGAACAATGATGGAGGCAGAGAGCAGCTTTGGAGGAGAAACATCCAGCAGTGTGAACAACCCCTTCATATGGAGTGCTTTGGCTCACACTATCAGCGTTTTCTGTGAGTGTTGCATGACTTTGGGTGAGCACAGAGATGAACACACTGCCAGCCACGTATTTATTTATTTAGTTTTTAGTTTTTAGTGCTGGTCTTGTACTGGCTCTATACTAGGGCAGCTGCATACCCTTTCGACACTTTATTTTTTATATTTACATTTGAATTAAATGGACACTTTATCATGACTGCCACTTGTTTTACAGAGACCAAATAGTTTGTTATTCTCCAGTGCAGAGTCTTTACTTTTATTTATACAGCCGCTTTATTTCATTTAAGTTTGTTTGTTCAAGGTTTTCAATAATATGATGAAAGTTTGGACAAATAAAAGATAGTTATCTTGAAAGCCACACATGTAAGCTCTCAAATACTTTTTGAATTCTGATTCTATCTGCGACAGAGGCTGAGATATCGGCTTTTTTGTAAAACTCAACACTTCAGAAAACCTCAGGATCTGGGGGCCCTTCTCAAAATTGTCCTCAGGATTTCAGAGGCACGGCTCAGACAGGGTTCAGGTCTTAATGGGTTAATAGGGGAGCAGATTTCTTATGACGAGATTATTGATGATTTTGCATCAAGGAAGGCAAGAAAGGTCAGGTTGTAGTTTTAGTCCCCTCGCCTGGGGAGTAATTTAGTCTTGAACCGCCACTGTATATATATATATATATATATATGCACTTTGTTTACACCAACCGAATGTCAGGCATGTGAAACTTAAAGGCAATGCCTTTTATATGCACTGCACTTTTACCTAAAATAAAAAATGCAACATTTTTTCATCATGTTTGGTTTTATTCAAACGGGAGCGTGACAGGAGTGGGAGTAATTTTAAGTGGGAGCGGGATGGGAGTGGGAGTCATTCTACGGGAGTGGGACAGGACGGGATTAATTTTTTTACTCCGGTCCGGGATTGGGACGGGACGTGATTTTTTTCTCTGGGAGTGGGACGGGACAGGAGTGAAAATCCGCTCCCGTGTCATGCTCTAGTATGGTGCACACTCTGACGGCTTGTGTTGAGTTCATCAAGGAGAGCAGGAGGAGGATTTGGTAATGGAAGGCCAGACTCCCTCTGGTAAAGTCATGACAGAGGGCGTTTGATTTATAAAATTTAAACTGGTCTTTGACCTTAGATGCTTGCTTTTTGTTAATATAATAAAGAAAGATAGCTTGGGGGCTAAATGTACATTAGGAGTACATCAGGGGGAGGGAGAGAATGAAAGCAAGAGCAGTGACAGTTACTGTGTCACACTAACTATATTTAAAATCGATCAAACCCTGAAATTGCTGGTATTCTGTATCTGTTTTGTTGCTCTCTGTGTCATGAGTCCGTTAGGTCATTATTTGCACATTTCCTCTCAGCCTCCATGACAATGAAGGTATGCTTGCATGCAGGAATTCATTTTAAGGAGGAAGCACTGTCTTTCAGCTGAACATTGTGGACTTAAATCGTCTGCTTGGATGTGTCATTTCTTGGTGGAATGATCGTAATGAAAAATTGAAGACATATTTTATCCTCGGCTCCACCCTGATGCACCTTAGCATCCCCACCTCTGGGGGTCCTGTTATGAACTGTAAGAGATGAGCAAAATCCCCTTCTTCCTCCAGTGCTCTATTTCCCTCCATCTGTGTTCCTCTTGATCATTTCATGTACATCCCCACACCTTCTTCCTCCCCATATCCCTCCTCCATCTCCTCTAGTAATGGATTACATGTCTCCACTCAGCCTTTCCTGTCCTCAGTGAATCATGGGGCTGAAGCCAAGGGTGGACCTCAGGGGTGGATGGGAACTCAGGCAAAGCGAGAAGAAACTGCAGATATTGGGTTACTGTGTTCTTAGCTCCAGATATGATGTAGTGGGTGTGAGTACGGCTGCATAGTGGCGCCTTTCAGTGGGCTAGACATTCAACACAGGGTGAGGTCCATACGGAAATATGTGATAAATCTGTGGTGAGAGGGTGATGCTGGAAAGACTTAAGAGGAGATACTATTGTAGCCCAGATACGTCATATAGAATTTAAAGTGCTTATAAAAAGAACACTTGTGTACATAACCTTTTATACTGAAAAACCAGTGAAGGTATCACCCCGACTTAAGCTTGAAAATCCCTTGACTGTGGTTTGGCTAAATACTTGATTCTGATTGGCTGCAGGGTGAAACTTAAATCTGACAAATCTGACAAACTACTAACAAAGTATAGTTGGGCTTAAACATCTGTAGCTTATTGTTTGTTTGTCAAAGCTGATACTGAGAGATTTACATGGCTGTATGGATGGTTATTCTTGTTGTTGAACATGACATGAAGTAGTATTTTCTGTGTCGAAAAAATAATGTAATTTATACTAAATCTTGCAAGGATACAGTTAGCTTGTTGGTAAAGGGCTTAGCAGAGGTGATCCATTAGCTGCACCACTAACTAGATATATCTACCAAACCAAATGCAACCATTGACTATGGGTTTTGGCTTTACTTCAGGGTTTTGCTGTCCATGCTTTCATACAACCTACAGCTTGAACCAGGATCTGTTTAAAGAACTGTTTTACATTAACATTATTTACATTATTTGTATGCCATTGTAAGCATCTAGGATAGTGAAGACTTCTCAGGCATTGGTCTGAACTTCAGGCGATAGCAGGACACAGTTTGATAGTTTTGTTTAAAATTCCAGATCTTCTCATTGCAAAATATATGAGCACATAATGTTTATGTAACAATTATCTCATCAGTCTGCTATCTGCTGTTGTATGATTTATTTATGCATTTTATTCAGTAAATACATGTTTTTTTTAATGTTTTTAGCAGCTAAGGAAGCACTGTGCAGTATGATATAATGCTCCTTTTAAAAATGCTCTTCATGTTTACTTTGTTACATGGATGTGTTAACTATTAATTCCGATAAATCATTCTACTGCAAAATCACAATGCAACATTAGCAACAGACTACTATTCATTGAATGCCAAACAATAGCAGAAGGGAAAACTGTTGCTAGGTATGTGACTCTGACTACAGACTCTGATCGACTGAGTGTAAACATCATTCCTTCTTTGAAGAGGAAAGCAAGAGAGTGAAAATGAAAATGGTTGAAGACACAGGAACTGGAGGCTATTACAGTCAACACTAAATGGTATACAATGGCATTTGAGGACTGATAAATGGAAAAGAAAAGGTTATATCGTCTTACAGCAGCAAGGCTGACAAACTATATCAGGTCTGCCAGTGACTCATGTAGTCCTGTTTACCTTGTTTTTTCACATGTTCAGTTTAATATGTGCAATAACAGCTGACTTAGCTTATTTTAAGATGGATAGTTATCTGTGACTACTGACACATCTTGAACATGTGATGAACAGGTACAAATATAGTCACTATGATATATATAAAAATTACACAATAAATGTTTAATGCTCACAATACATTACTTACCCTGTAACTTCAGCAGACAGATAAAGAAAGCTAAAAAAAAAAAAGCACATAGTTGATGTCTAACACCTGGGATGCCACAGAGGAAAATTAACAGTTTCATTAAAAAACTTTTCAGAAAAACAGTTTCAGTGATATAAAATTCATTCTGTTTGGAAATCTTAGATTGCTGTAATACATTATTAAGCTCTTAGCCATGTCATGCTTCTCCTTTGCTTTTTCTTTGTGTTGTAAGATGCAGTGGCCATCTGTGTTTGTTGGCTTTGCTCCTACTCATGTCCAGCCACAAAGCTGGATGTGGCCGTAGATTTGTTGGGCAGTAAAATACCGTAAAGAGTGGCATGAGGACAGCGTTGAAAGCTAGCATAGCTGCAGTTCATAGACTAACATCTTAACTCCCCCTTTTCTTTACAGTAAATCAGGATAAGTCAGGGGCTTAAGTGCCTGATGTAAGTCCCTGTTAAACCAAATAACCACAATGACCAGGGGATGAGTTTAGTTAAAAAACCCAGTTTTCAAGCATTTTTCTCACACACCATCACAAACATAATAACTGTTAAGGGTGGGCAAGATGTAGAGCTTAGTCAAAATGAGCAAAGACACCTACAGATGTTAATCCTTGTGGGGTGCGGGGGGTTACAGGTAAATTTGACAATCCACCACATGAAAGGAAAATACAGTTTTTGGCAGATGAAAATGTATTTTTTTTAATGCTATGGGGCATGACCACACCCCTATAAATGAGTATTTATATGTGCAGGTGGTGTGGAGGTTGAAAGTATGGGCAGACAGCAGCTGTCAGAGTTATAGTTACTATGAAATCAAAGCTGAGTATCGCCCTCTTCGTTCAGTCAAAGAAGGAGAATCCGAGGGACTTTAAGTGTTGTAATGTATGACAAACATTGAATAAAAAAACACATACATTCTCACACACAGACACACACACACACGCACACACACGCACACA